GTAGTCCACGAGGCCGAGAGGTCTAATTGTTTTAGTATAAACATACTAATCGGTCAAATAATGAAAACAAATTGAAATATCCTTAAAATAATTTATTGATTAGATTGATTTTCCCGCGAGTGGTCTATCACAAATTAGACCATTAGTAGAGTAGCCAATCACAGCGCAGTATGAGTGATAGACCATTTAAATATGTTTATACTAATGTATTTTATGTCAACCAGGCATAACTCAGAAGCTATGATACACATGGGGCTTTCACTGCTTACTGTGGCCCTAGAGGCTGGTGCACATCACTTGGGCAACTTCACTTCACTGATGAACCTTGTCAAAGATGACATGTGTAAAAACCTTTTCAATGTAAGAACAACGTACTTGTACTTATTGCTATAGTCCTCTATATTACGGTACAAATTTAATCTTTAAATGCTGAGAATTTCTTTGAGTTACTGTTCAGGTTAGGAATTAAGTAACAATGCGCGCAAAAAGCAGGCAACTTTCTATWGTTCKSCGGCAATTGCAACTTCCCYACATACGAATGTCTTGGTTTTCACACTGATTATATATCACCTATGGGTAACAGATTTTTAWAATAAAATGTGAATAAACTCTGTTTTGAAACAAAGTTTCTTTTGTATTAAAAGATCTTGTCCAATCTGAAGCACTCAAAACAATAGCCAAAAGAAGCTTCTAATTTGCTATGTTACCYACATAGAATTGCTATTAATATTAAAGCTAAGGAAAGCTTTTATGAAGTCGGAATCAGATATTAAATAAAATGTTAAAAAATGCGATTATATTTGAAATTATGTCAAATTTTAATGTTTTAACCAATGAGATGGATGGATTATACAATACAAAATTAGCACCTTCATGCATTCCATTGCCGTTTGCTTGCCTGCTTCTTACTCGGACCATTACTTAACTTGCAGTCTCTGAAAATGAGAAAAACTCAACAAATGACAATGTTGTTTAACACATTGATGTTTCTTAATCTTTATATATTTTCTCCACAAACCAGTGTTTATTAGAGTACAAACATTGAATATGTGCAACACTTTCTACTATTTACTACAAAATRGTGTTAATTAAACAATAGAATTAGCATAATTTAGCAGTATTTAGTGGTATTTATGTTGCATAGTTTTAGTGTTTGTAGAGTGCTCGCACTAAATGCGTGAAATATAAATACTACAAAATAGGTGATAAATTATACAAATTYTTTTGTTTCCTATTGTATGATCAACACTATTTAGTAGTAATTAGTACTATTTGTTTCACGGTTGAAACAACTTACCGACGTTTTGGACGTTAATCCTTCCTCTTAACTCCGACAAAGGATTAACATCCGAAACTTTAGAAGGTTGTTTCACCTACTTTTTTACGGTGTTAAATTCATCTTATTTCACAACTGTTTCTTTATAAACACCGACGCAGCTCACACTAGTTTACCGCTAGTTTCCACCATTTTTATAATTTTGTGATAATAGTCAACAATCTAATCCAAAATGCACGGGATAGTTATACCTCCATTTCTCAATACTTTTATTAAGTATTKAATCCATGTCGATCCGACAGTTTGAGATACATTGAAYGAGGAAAGAAARMATCGTTTAGGAAACCCAAATTTTGGATTAAGAAACGAGTCTGAAGAGCGAATACAATATTTCGACTTTAATTCAAAGTCATAGTCATGTAATGGTGTTAATATTTACAAGTGCAGAAATTTATTAAAAAAGCTGTAAGTCCCTTGAGGCCTTCAGTCCTTCATTATTAAGTATTATTCCTGTTATTCACAGCTGTTGCAGTGTGATTTCCTTGGTTTGTTTGCCATGGCAATGAGAGTGTGTTTTCTGCTATTTGAAGGCCTTAGAGTACACTTGAAGCTGCAATTTGAGGTAAAAAACGACACACAACTCACACAGGAAGCAGCGCAGTATACTTTCCACTTTCGTATCGATCGTTTTCACAATTCCCATGACATTTAAAAGATAAAAGACCAGCGGCCATGTTGCAGGAGTGAGCAATAGTTACTTATTAGAAATCCTTTCTTGAAGTTCCCCCAAGATGGCCGCTAGTGAAAACGAAGAATATTATGTTTTGTCCCAGAATGAAGTTAACAGAAATAAATGTACTTCTCTTACAGATGTTCTTCAAGAGGTTACTGGATATTCTTTCAATGGACTTCCAAAGCGTCCCGTATGAGAAAAGAGAGTTGATTTTGGATGCTATTAATCAGGTACGTAATAAGGATGTTCATTGATATAAACGCTCAGGTGTATCTGTGAACATTTTTGATCATTCGTTTTGTTGTTGTATCTGAGAACCTTTGTGACTGTTTGTTTGTTTTGTTTTTGTTTTGCAAAATATCTTTTAGCAGAAAGTTGCTTTCTGGTTTATTTGGTTCAAAATCAAAGATGGCGATTTTTTGTTTGTGAGAAAATTGCACAAAAATGAAGTTGATTAAAGGGCTACTTGGACAAAAATTGCGAAATATTAGAAAAGACTTGGAAATCAAATAAGCCTATCCATATTGGTCTAATAATCATGAAGCAACAGATTTCAACAAGATATTGATACAAATCCTTAATATTTTGGGCAAAAAAATGTTGGAGTAGATGACGTCATTTACTCAATCCTTTTGTTCTTCCATCTTCTGAATCAAAATTTCTCTGATGTGGGATAATTCCAAAGCAAACATTTTCCCGCAATTGTTTTTAATAGATATAAATAAGTCATATATTTGTATTGCTTGAGGTTTTGAAATAAGGGCATTTTCATGCAACCAGCACTTTTTAAAATTGAATTAAAATTAAAATTATCAGAGCAAAGGAATGCACTAGAATGTTGTTTGCTTCATTGCTTTTAGTTTGATTATTGATACTGATGATAATAGTAACAGTTTTTAATTTATTCGCAGCTTTTTCGTGTTCCAAATCTTGTGACCGAGTTGTATCTCAACTACGATTGTGATCTATACTGTACAAATGTATTTGAAGAACTTTGTAAACTTTTATCAAAGGTGAGCAAATCTGAAATGATCAGTCACAGAAAATTGGAACCCCGTTTTACGACCACCCTCTTAATACGGACAGCTCTTTATATCGGCCATATTTTTATGTCCGGCACATTACACCCACATACTTTTCTGCTCAGTTAATATTAATTCGTGTTATGATTTTGATTATAGTAAGTAAAGGGAGGAGACCTCTTACTATTGATTTTGTTGTGATTAATACGTTCATTCATTCATTTAACTTTTGAAACAACGTTTAAAACTTTCTCTAATCCTTGTAGAATGCCTTCCCCGCGGCAGGCAGTTTGTTCAGCGTCCATCTCTTAGCATTGGATGCACTTCTTGCTGTAGTTCAAGGTGTCGAAGGCCATTGCCATGAAGCACTTGTCAATTCGATGGAAAGAGCACTGGAGGACAGTATACCAGTAAATAAGAAAGACAAGATGCTGAAAAGAGAAAAGACTAACTCAGGTATGACGTCATGGTTCAGGACGAAGTGCATCATGGGTCTTCTCTGAAATAGCATTATACGTTTCATTGTGGTCTAGATTCTGTGCAAACGTCCTTTGTTCATGCGGCCAAATATGGTGTTGTTTCTACTTAAGCAAGACCACAATGCACCATGATTTTGTATTTCAGAAAAAAAGTGTATGGTATTAATGAATGTATAATGAGCTGCTTTTTTAATGAAAACGTCTGACTGAAAACTATGGAGGATGTTTTTTATGTGCAAATGAGCCTGGTTCACACGAGGATTGGAAACGATGTCAACATTCGTTTTTCTACCCTCCTCCGTGTTTTGTTTCTCGGGAAGCACTTGGAAACTGAAAATTTAAATTACAACACAGGAATCCCAAGCAACGGAATGAATTAACGAGCAAGATTTGGAGCAAGTCTACAGCATGTCTTCAATTTGTACTTTTATCAATCCCATAGTGTACCTCTCATATCACATCGAATGACGTCATTAAAATGACATCATGTTTATTTATACTGTATTCAATTGAATTTAACAGATAAGCAACCCAAATCATTCCTTTTTAGGAGGTGATGATGACTCCGGTACTGATGACAATTTGGAGACAATTCAGCCCTCCYCTCCTACGTCAGGTTTTGAAATGGCACAAAGAATGACMGTGGGGATAGTGACGGGGGATGGTTCCAGTATGAATGAKCGTGTTARAGAAGACAATGGCAAGAAGATGAACGATGTTYTWAATGAACGATTTCACGCATTGTCTACTGGCTTGTTGTTTTCGTCSTGTTTGCCGACACCTGAAATGCTGGCAAAGCTGAAACTAAAGAAAAAGGTAAATCAATAAATCAATGACAAATAAGTAAAGAATAAATAAAATTCCGAAGAACGTCTTGGAAACTTAATGTTTAAGTGAAACAAGATAAAGAGTAACGTTTATATTTCGGTTTTAATTCAAACATTCATCAAGAACCAATTACGGAAACTAATTATTAAAATGTACAGTATATACCGAAATTAGAAAAATTCAAGTTGTTTGGACTCTTTTATCCCTTTGTTTCAACTCTGATTTTAAGGATTTTATGACAATCGCAAAGTCATGTCGCAAACACATTAAACGTTTGTTTCAAAATTCGTTAAATTTTGTTGAATGACAATATTGAACGCATTTGCGTGGGGTTTTAACACAATCTACAGCTTTCAACAAAGTTCAACAAATGTTTAAAGCGTTTGCGCACCCGCCATTCGACATCGTTCAACACTATTCTAGAGCTTTCATTTACGTTCAGCGAATGTTGAAAGCGATTGCGACCGGCTTTACTTGAACATATAATTTGTGGATTCACAAATCCCGTCTTGATGTATACAAAGTTATTCATTTTATCAATATCTCTTCGAAACAGCTACTGCAAGCTGGCTCCGAGCACTTCAATAACAAGCCMAAGAAAGGAATTGAATTCCTACAAGAACATGGACTCCTACACCGACCTCTAGAGCCCGATGAGGCTGCTAGATTTCTACGTGAAAATCCACGTCTTGACAAGAAAACTATAGGAGAATATATTGGCAACAAACACAATGGAAAAGTGCTGGATGAATTTGTGAGGTACTGTACTAGAACAGCTATGTACCAAAGTGTTTAAGTCCTCAAAAATCGCCCTGTTATTCAGGAGTTTTGTCGTATAGTCTTTTTTTCTGCTCCAGCCATTTTGACTCTTTGAAAGTACGGAATTAAAAGTCCATTTTCTCTACTCCATTTTTGGAGTCATTTTGACTCTTTCAAAGTACGGAATTACAATTACAATTTTTCTACTCCTTTTTTGGAGCCATTTTGGCCCTTTGAAAGTACGAAATTGAAATTCCAATTTTTCTACTCCATTTTTGGAGCCATTTTGGCCCTTTGAAAGTACGGAATTGAAATTCCAATTTTTCTACTCCATTTTTGGAGCCGTTTTGACCCTTTGCAAGTACGAAATTGAAAATCCATTTTTCTACTCCATTTTTTGGGCCAT